TCCCTATTAATTCAAGAGAGACCCTGATTGGCCCCGCCTGAGTCACATGCCCATCTTTGGTCCAATCACCATGAGTCTATGACAGTAGCAGCCAGAGCCATTGTTCCCCCTTGAGGAGGGTGGGAGGGGAGGACAGTGTCTGGTCTTACAGCCCCACTAGGACCAAGTACCTGTGTTGTGGAGGAAGTTCCCCACGTCAGGTGATTACCAGGTAAGGAAGGAAGTGAAGGAGCACTCAGATGACAACAAACAGTAGACCTCTCAGTCCTAGTCCACTGTGGTCCACGTTTAGACCAGAATCAAGACACACCCACTTGCTCCTACATGCAGCCCAAAAGCAGCCCCACTTGGGGGCACCTGAGTGGCTCAGTCAAGCGTCTACTCTTGATTTCAGTTCAGGTCATGATCTCACAGTTCACGGGTTCAAGCCCTGAGTCGGGCTCTGCGCTGACAGTGTGGAGCCTGCTTGGGATTCTCGCTCGCTTTCTCCCTTGCCTCTCCACTCCCTCTCACAAATAAACTTTTAAAAAATGTCCCTGTTCAACACAACAGCAACTCCCATACACGACCAAAAATTTCATTTACCCTCCGTCCCCATAAAAAGGCTAATCCCTGAGCCAGGGTCTAACAAAGGAACTCTGAGCAGGGTGCGAGGTGCACACTGTGGCAAGGTGTCAGTCAGATGTCCAAAACCTTTCAGCCCACTGAAACCATGGGCTGTACCCCTGCGGTACAGCCTGCTGACTGTCTACACCACAGACGTTCCCATTCTCTTTTTTTGGACTGCAAAGCTTGGGTCCCACAAAAAAGCTTGGAAATACTCATTTTCCCAGCATTCCTTGCAGCTATGGGTATTCATGTGTCAAAGTTTTGGTCAAAAAGACATAAGAGGAAATTCCTGCTATGTTGTTCCAAAAAAAAAGATTCTTCCTCTTTAATAAAAAGGGAGTAGGATGTGAAGAAAGTCCTCTTAAGGTGCAGGCTGCTCGCTGCTTGACTTTGGAGACAGCTGGGCAAGGACTAGAAGTCAGCAAAGAGGACAATGGAGCGAGCGAATAAACAGTTTTTTATTACCCTGTGAGTTACCAAATCCGTTCTGGCACTGCTTACCTCCAGACTTTGCTTTGTAAGAGAATTAAATATCCTTATTGTTAAATGCACTGTTGATCCAAGATTTTTTTTCTTTTATGTTTATTTATCTTGAGAGAGAGAGAGAGCATAAGTGAGCAGGGGAGGGGCAGAGAGAGAGGGAGATAGAGAGTCCTAAGCAGGCTCTGTGCTGCCAGCACAGACCCCAACGCCTGGCTTGACCCCAGGGACCATGAGATCATGACCTGAGATGAAACCAAGAGTCAGACGCTCAACCAACTGAGCCCCCCAGGTGCCCCTGGTCCAAGATTCTTCTTTCACTGTTCACTAGGTGACCAGGCTGTACAGGGAAGGTTAGAGGCAGTTCATGCCACCCAGGGGAGAAACGGGCGCATAATTCAAGGTCACTGAAACAGACAACACACACACCAGGCTCAAGTGATACAGCCTTTACTTACAGCAAGGGAGGAGATCAAGTGCACAAGATCCAGGCCCCCATGACCGGAAGATCTACTCCACGGCCAACACTGACCATGTAAATGCACACACCCCACTTTATGCTGCACTGGAAAGACCCGGACCCCTCCCCTGGGGGGTCTGAAATCCAGAAAGCTAGGGACTTGTCTGAGGGCCATCGACACATGCACTTAAGTAGAACAAGGGAGTACTGGGGCACCTGGGTGGCTCAGTCAGTTAAGCCTCTGACTCTTCATTTGGGTTCAGGTCACGGTCTCCCAGTTCGTGGGTTGGAGTCCTGCCTCTGGCTCTGCACTGACAGCACACAGCCTGTTTGAGATTCTCTCTCTCCCTCTCTCTCTGCCCCTCCCCTGCTTGCTCTCTAGCTCTCTCTCTAAATAAATAAAAATAATCTTAAGAAA